GATGAAGACGAGGACCCGCAGTCTCCAAAGGGACGAGCCTGCGCTCCTCTCAGACAGGTGTCTGTCCTGGAGCTAGCCAGCGAGGAGACGAAGGGTAAGGAGTCACCATTGTGAGACACTGCTAAAGACCCTCGCTGCGTAGTGTCCTTTGCCGTGAGCTGTCGTCTGTGTGGCCTCGATCCTTTCAGAGAGCAGCGTGGATGCAGATCTCACCCGGGCGGCGCCGGAGGGGCTGTTGGAGTTTAACAGTAACGGCCACGTGGAGGCGGACCAGACGCCGTCCCCTTCGAGGGACGACGACCAACACAATGGCAACGCGGAGCCCACAGAGAAGGAGCCACGCGACGGGTCCCCAGTTAACCTCGCCTGCAACGGCGGAGACTCTCCAGATCTCAAGGAGTTGGACGCTGAGGCGGGAGGCCTTGCTGCTCACAGCAGTGGAGTAACTGAGAGGCGCCTCCCTGTTGGGCTGGAGGAGGGAGAGCTGGATCAAGGCCTTCTGCAGGAGGAGGGAGAGGACGGGCGCGAGGACGGTCAGTCAGACAAAATCAGTACTTCAAGATGCTGTAAATGAGTTTTCTTTCTTTTTTTTGTGCCTGATGAAATTATTAATGAATGAAAGGCGCATCCGTGTGACAATTTGTTTAAGCTTTTTAACCCTTTTGTCTCCCTCTTTCTTACAGGCAAGCTGACAGCAGGATCCCTGTTGGTTAACCCCCTTGAGCCACTCAATTCAGACAAGATCAAGGTCAAGATTGCGGACTTGGGAAATGCTTGCTGGGTGGTGAGTTGCCTCTTAATGACCTGAGGGATTTCCTGATTAGGGATTACGGTACACATGCAGCTACCAAAATAGAAACCCTTAAGTCTTCCGTCCCATTCTTTAATTGGTTGTTCTTAGCTATGTTTTGAAGTTGTATTGTAGACGTAGTTGGATGCGGTGGGCCTAGGCTCTGTCATTTTTGAAGGATTTGTTTCTCTCCCTCTCCCAGAACAAGCACTTTACAGAGGACATCCAGACACGGCAGTACAGGTCCTTGGAGGTGCTGATCGGCGCGGGCTACAGCACACCGGCCGACGTGTGGAGCACGGCCTGCATGGTGAGAGATTAAACTGACAGGCAAAGAGAACTAAATCATCCATTTTGACTCAAAGCGTTATGAGTGGGCAGCAGGTGGTGCTGGCGGGTAAATCTTTTCATACAGTGTCTTTTTCTGACTGATTGTGTTGTCTCCTCAGGCCTTTGAGCTCGCCACCGGCGACTACTTGTTTGAGCCACATTCTGGGGAAGACTATTCCAGGGATGAAGGTATCGTTGGGACTGACTCTCCAGTTACACCTGCACAGAATTTAGCCGTGTTACATAATTCATACTGTTTTTTTTGAACGTATGCTTCACTCGTAAGACATTTAACATTGGCAGCATGTCTCAAGTAGACCTGCACTTCAAGTCACTGTTCCTGTTAGCGAAATAACTCTGCATTGCACGTTGCTTAATTCTCCTCAATGTCAACACTTAGACGAGGGACGTTACAGTAGTTTTCTAAAGGTGACGGACATGTAGATGTTAATGAGTACCAACATCCCTGTGTTTATTTCCTCTTCACACCTCAAACCACTTAGACTGCACCGGAGAAGCGTCATTGTTCTCGTCCTTATGCTTTGTATTGATGTCGGCTTGCTGCTTAGCTTGAGGTTTCTGTACTGACTTGAATCTGTTACGGCACGTCAGGTATGTAGTTAGTTCCTTCTCACAAGCCCAGCGGCTGTGAATCGGCTTCTTCACAGCTCATTCTGTTGTGTGACTCATCTGATATCAGTCTGCAGTGCGCGTTTTAGTGTGTGTGTCTTTGATGGCTGTGCTTTAAGTCGTATTTAAGTCTTATCAGTCAGATTTGATCCTCATGCTTTTTTTTTTCTTTCATGAACTTGAATTGCCTCATGTATTTGTTGTCTTTTTTTTTAAAGAATTTCATTTGAAAAGTAATGCGGTTGCCATACATATGCTTATGTGTCATCCATTGTTCTACATGACCGTTTGTCTTCCCCTCGCCAGACTGCAGCATCTGACTTTTTCTCTCTCTCTCTCCTCCTCTGTTGTGCCTCATTTCCAGACCATCTTGCTCTCATGATTGAGTTGCTCGGTAAAATCCCTCGTCACTATGCTCTGAGTGGGAAATACTCGCAGGAATACTTCACCAAGAGAGGTATGCAATCCCCGTGCCTGTGGCTCGCTCTGGGACGGGTGGATGGGAGGTGGAGGGGGAAGGTTCCTGTCCGCACATGAAGACCGACGCGGTCGGTGTTTGCAGCCCAGCGGGCAAAGTAATGAATAGGGACCAATTGATTTGTTACTTTGAACGCTGCCGTCAGAGATTCATCCGCCTGTCAGAAGGTGTCTTGTTTGCAGAGGTACTGTCAGCGCTTCCTCAGGTGGACCTAAAGGACATGAATACACGATACTTTGTTGATGACTGTCGTGGGAAGAACAACATCTGCCTCCAGATTTTTTTCATTGCTATCGGTTGTTTATATGCAAACTTGCGGTGGTGTTGTTATAAATAAACCCGAGGTGTATTTTATTTGCAGTAGTTCCTCATCTAGAACGGTCCCTGGCAGGAGGTAGTTTGAGGACATTTGTGTTCCACATGGCGCCTCTGTCCCGTCTGCAGGTTAGATGAACCTGCCTCTTTCTCCGTGGCACAAAGTCATTTTAACGGTTGTATCGGCTCATGATTACGTACAGCGATTTAGTTCCAATTTCTTTATTTTCTGATACGATGAGTCCGTCATGTTGTTTAAGCGCCAACAGGTGTACAAACACGATTGAAACGCTGCTGCAACATTATTAGGAGGTGTTTGCTTTGGTGTTTGCTTTGAGATTAAATTACATTAACCTTCACAATATGATTGCTTGAGAGATTATTGATCACGCCCTAGTTGTATGAAACATTGACAAAACTGAAGTTAAAGACTCTTGAACACGTGGATCTGGGATAAGTTTAAGAACTTTTAGCTCTTTTTTTGATCTGATCTCTCACTGCAACAGCCTTTATATACTCTTCCCTCCACCCACCCAGCCGGCACGCGGCCTGATGCATCCGTCGTGTGCTTCGTCTCGTTCCTCTTGTAACGGTTTGCCGCCTAGACCACGTAGCACTGATAATTTAGCTGCCCGTAATGCTCATAATGACTGACAAATATTCCAAGAGGTTTTCTGCCTGCCGCGCTTATAAGGTCTCCAATGAAATAATGAAACATTTATTGTTGGAGCATTACCATTCAAATCGTTCATATTTGTTAATTCTTTGACAGTAACTGAAATACAACTATTGAATGTCAGGTCTAGAGGTTTGAATATGTTTTTCACGGACTCCTTGTTAGCATTGAGTTTGCACGTTGTTGTTGTTGTGCTGTACTTCTGCACGGCTCCCTGACGCTGCGCTGTCCGCCTGCAGGCGATTTGAAACACATCACCAAGCTGAAGCCGTGGGGCCTGCTGGAGGTGCTGGTCGACAAGTACGAGTGGCCCCGAGAAGAAGCCGAGTGCTTCACTGACTTCCTGCTTCCCATGCTGGAGCTGATCCCGGAGAAGAGAGCTACCGCCGCCGAGTGCTTGCTTCACCCCTGGCTCAACCTCTAGTGGAGACCTCCAGCCATTTCACCCTCCTTCCCTCCCTCCTTCTCTCTCCAGAGACTGCAACAGATCACTTTCCAGTTTGGGCATATCTAATGAATATTTATTTCTCTTTTCTTTTTTTTTTTTTAGTTTCATTGATTTCGGTTATCTTATGTTCTGGTTATTGAACTGATGCTTCTGTGTATGTTTGCGTTGGTTCTTCTCTCGGCAGGATGACGTGTGCTTTATATTCCTTTCTGGTCATGCTGGTTCCATTCTGCTGTTCTCCGTTTCCCCCCCCCCCCCGAATAAGCAAAGCCGTTGTTGTACTGCTAGTGACTCATCCTTGTTTGTTACACTCCTGCACTAAACAAATTAAGGATATGTAGCCTTCCTTGGTCCTTCTGTCCCCTTTTTTAAAAGGATCTGCTATTAATACTTTACTTGTGCATTTTCATTCGTGCTGTGTTGTTGTTTTTTTGTTTTTTTTTAAGAATGATTTGATCTTCTATTAAACCTGTAAGGTGAACACTTTGTATTTGTAAACTAGGCATAAGGAGTTGCACACTGGGCTGACATGTACACTGACTGTCACAGCATTTCTCCAGAAGGTTTCTTAGAGACAGCCACTGTCTGATAATCTAGGTCATATTATTCAGTCTCTACAGATCTGTTGTCATCTGGTACTTAGTGTGCTTAGTTAATTATAATAAATGAGGAACTTAATTGTCATGGGAGGCTGGTATTATCATTCAAATTAATAAACATCACGAATACATTGTTTTAAAGATTTAAACAAGACATGTTAAGGAGCCTCGGTCAAAGGAAAAAAAAGAGAAAATAAACTGTACATATGTGTACCAAAGAGTTTGCCTTTCTGTATATTATAGTTATGTACAGTTTTTAACAAATCTTAGCTAAAGGTATTTAGCTGGGTAGCTGTGTTTTAATAAAGTGTATGCGAGTGTTCAAGCTCATATGTATGTACGGCCAACTGTTCAATAACTTCTGTTTTTACCAACGAAATGGTGAGATCTGATGTTCTGAAATGGTCCCCAATTCATATCAAAGTAACCTATGACTATCAAACAGGTAAAAGCAAAATGTATACATTAGCGTCAGATTCAACAACATGGACTTTGTGTAAGCTGGCGATTGACAGAAACACACCATACAATAAAAACAGATGTTCATACAGTACAAAGCGACTGTGTCAAGCTTGTTTCTGTGGGTTTATTGAGTGTTTGACATGAAGTACAAAATTAAAACTCCGCTGTTATTGCTTGGGGCTGTGAAGAGAACATTTCAATTAACCAAAGGTCACAACTAGTCAGGTGAGCAGTTTGACCTGAACTACATCGTGACACTTCAGGATGGTTCTTCATCGCATCTTCATCGCATCTTCATCGCTCCTGAGGTCCATGTTCATCAGGGGTTTTCTGTAAAAGAGGGAAAATGCTCTCTGGATATCTTTAATGGATTTAAGAGGTGGACTTGTTCCCTTCTTTGTGGTTCCACCTCAAATTACCATAACAGTTTGCTAATATTTCCAAAGTTGTTGTGTGTGTACTAATATGTATGATGATAATGGTGTAATTTCATTGTAATATGTTTTAAATGTGAAGAATTAGGTTGTAATTTGTTAGAAAATCTTGACATCCTTTCCCAATGTTTTACAGTTTTCAATGTATTCAAACACTTTTAATTAAACCGATCGGGCAGATTAAAATGGAGATCATACTTTAAATGCATTCATAGTTCTATCTGTATAAACTTCACTGGTAAAGATACACCACCTTCATCCGTTTTCCTCACCTGCTCCGCCCTCCACCTGGAACTCATCCGGCAGCAGTTTGTCCTGACGGTTGCCGAGGGTGAAGGAGAGAAACGCCAGGAGCACGGCGTCCAGGATGCTGATGAGGGCCAGGATGTAGGCCCAGCGCACCGTGCAGTTCCCCAGGCTGTACTTATCCGTCTTCTGGCCGCACATCCTCTTCACCTCCGGAGCGTCCCAGCCGTCCGGGTAGATCATGCAGCCCATCACCATCAGCGCCGCTGCGGGGGAAGACAAACACTTAAAAAGTGGAGCCTTGGAATAAATACCCTTGTGTGCTGTTACTGTACCGAATAATTATAAGGGAGGTGCTGGATGACGCAGGATGCAACCCTCATAAAGGGCCTACGATTGTAATTTATTAACGGTGCAGCTGCAAAGGATGCTCAGAGGGGCTGTTTGCATGATGCACTGCTCTGAAGGTTCTTAAATGTTAAATGCTCTTCACCAGATAAACCGTATTCTGGGTTGCTGCCACCCAATTACAGATTTAAATTGGAATTTTGTAGATATGTTCCATTGAAATATTGTTAAATACTGTGGTACTTTGCCTTGAAGATACTTGCAGTAGTTATTTCTACTTTAATTACCTATTCAGTCTGAGAGTTGTTCGTAATGTAAATTTTCCCTCATTAGTTCTCCGGCGTCTTCATTTCAGTACCTGTTAGACGTCCAAAGAGTAAACATGAGTCATTAGTTTACAGAAGGTTAGATAACTGTTTTTTTAATTCACAAATTCAATTTACTTTTTTTTTGTCTCACATGAACCATCCAAGTACTTGATTATGATTCTTTAAGGACATTGTCTGATAATGTCTGTGATACTTTACATTGCCCGTGTTTGTTTCAGGTGGGAGTTTTGGTCGGTTAACAAGACAGCGACACCTGATCGTGTTACATGTAATCAATCCACCATCAGAGGTGTCAGAGTCTGGGCTGGAACTGGATCCCTTATTGGCTTCCTTGGTAAAGAACAACACATCCAGTACAAACACACACCCCGCATGAAACCAGAGAGGTGAGAAGATGAGTTTATCGCACTCAGTTTAAAGGGGACTATTCTGAAGACTCATCCAACTGCTTTGTTTCAGAGTTTTGACATTCAGGTTTGAACTTTGGTAAAGATTTACCAAGAGTTTCTGCTGAATCTGTACGTTTGTATTAAAATGTTAAAAAAAAGTATCTTTTTGGATTATTCAAAGTAGAATCTAAATTAACTATAACGTTTGAAAAAGTAGAGTAAGCTCAAAATTTGCTGAGTTTCTCCATGCACCGTTTGATCTTTGACCTTTTTAAGACTTAAGACTCTGAACATGAGAAGCAATAGACTCATTTTTTTGTAAAAACCATCTAAATTCCAGCATATTTGCTGGAGGATAATGACGTAATAGCTGTACTCATGGTATTTTTTTAACATAATGCCTCAATAAAGTTAAAACATTATATTCAAAAGGTCCTTATTATATTGTATTTATACCTAAATGCACTTTTAAGCATTAAAACTGTAAAAGTCATCACTACTCAGACTACTGGAGTCGAAGCTCCAGCTACTTTTTCTGTTGTTGGGAACTTTAAATCAATAACGATGAGTCATATTTCACACAGCGATCATGCATTTATTATCTGATGACAAACACGACGCTCAATCTAAACTGACCAGCGCTCAAAAGTGCAACGCGAAAGGCCGCCGTCTCCCTCACCCGATGCCAGCTGCATCCACGCACAGATCTTGTACACGTTGCCGGCGTTGCAGAAGAAAAACAAGCTGAAGCAGACCATCGTGCCCACGATCAGCAGCATGGAGGTGCCCACGAAGAACATGGCTGTCCGGAAGGCCGGCGAGGGGATTGAGGCGAAGTCCAGGATGCTGCCCTTGCAGATGAGCTCCGAGGTGAGCGCGTTGCCGATGCAGTAGTGGAAGAGGCCGAAGTAGCCGGCCTGCGGGGTGTCCACGCTGTCCCCGATCCAGTAGGGCTGGATGAAGACCACGACGGTGATGATGACGAAGCAGATGGTGAACACGGCCCACATGACGCCGATGGCTCGGGAGTTTCTCACGTAGTTGGTGTGGTAGATTTTCGCAGCCTCCTGGGCTGGAAGCAGATCCATGAGAGCGAGTACACTTATAAAAATGAGTCAACCCACGTGTCCCCAGGAGCCTCTAAACTCACCAGGACACGCAGAACGCGCATCGGCCGCAGCAGCTGGCTGCTTTGCGTTCAAAGACTTGGGCTCAGGATTCAGCACCCCGGACAGCGGCCTCACCTGTCCAATTAACCACGCGGCTCTGACGTCAGAGATATCCTAAAGCAATAAGGTGAGCCGCATTAATTGTTATTACAATTAAATGTCATGTAAAATAAAATGTAACTTATTGCAAAGCCAAACCTGCAGTCTTTCCTTAAAAAAACCTTACCAGACCTCCAACAGAACCACTGACATACATAATGTTTAGGGGATATTTTTGTACCCTCAATGCAGCTTTAGAGCATTGTTTAGTTAACTCACAATTATTCCATGTTTTTATATGTCCTAATGTTATATTTAGTAGATTCTGACAGTTGACCGAGGTTTATGGCTGTTGTAGAGTAAACACTGTTAAAAAAGGTTTGCAGATTCAAGCTTATACATCTATATCTCACACAGATGTTTGACTGTTGTTGCAGACAGCTTTGGGAGTTTAGCAACAATGTTATCTGCAGAGGCTTGGAAAAGGCACGGATGTAAAATCCAACCCGTGGGCTGCTTTAAATCACACAGCACACGTGTGTTTGCCAAAAAGCAGCTCGTTTGTGATTACTTATACCAAAACAGACATCTTAGTCAGACATCTTTTTCTTTCATTTTAATTTGCCTGTTGGGTTGCTGACTGTCAAGGACCGTAAACACGGTCAAAACAGTAAATCTGATTGTTGCAACCCAGCTTTCTATTTTTTCTTTCTTTTTCTATGTTTTTTAAATTGCTGATGTGCTTTGACGTACATAAGGTGTCCTTCCATTTTTTCTTTTTCTTTTGTTGTGCCACATCCACTTAGCGATGACAAACGTGGCTCGGGGCTGACGGAGGTCACCCGGACAGAGAACGCCGACATCTGTACCCTTCACCCTCCAGCCAGTGTTCATAGCGAGGAGCATGAAGACCCTCTGCAATGTATTCAGCGAGGAATGTCTGTCCCACTGTGCAACAGACTCCCCGACGGCTTCCTTCCTGCAGCTCAGGAGAAACAACGGAGAGAGAGAGAGAGAGAGAAAGAGAGAGAGAGAGAGAGAGAGAGAGAGAGAGAGAGAGAGAGAGAGAGATGCAGGGAAGACGTCTCAGCATGGATAAAAAGACAAAACCAACAACAACAAAAACCCAGTCCGCGGAGGAGAGAGGGTTCCTTTCATGAGAGGGAGCTGAATGCCTTTGAGTTCTGCTCTAATGAGACACAATCCTCGATAGATGTGACAATATTTCAAGCCTGCTGTTTCTTTGGAGATGCGTTGAGAAGGAGATGTGGTGGTGGATGTGGATAAGGACCCAGATATTCTTTGCACAGGATTTTAGATTAACCGTCTTATTTGGGGCGGTTTTCTTGCAGGCCTCGTGTAAAGTCAGAAATAATGAAAGCCTGTAGTGATATGAGGGAATTAGTGAAATCCAAAGATTACTTTGTTGCAGCATTCAGAGCTCATGGTTATGAATTAAAAAACAAAACCATGTTCTGTTTTTGACCAAGAGCAATGTTGCTGTTTTAAAGCTCTCAAATGAAGATAGCATCTGATATTTAATTGCCTTTTTCGGCATCATAGACATGGTCTGACATTGGGAAAATAAAGGTGTTTAACTGTATTACCATTTACTCCCTTTTTGCTCCTCTGTCTGTTACAATATTTGTATTTTCACGTTAGGATGAGTTAAGTTTCAGTCTTGTTGTGTCTTGTGTTTTCATTTCATAACACTTTATAACTATAATTAAGAGGAAAATATTGTATATTTATTTGACAGCTTTAGTTTGTAACTTTTAAATGATGATTTTACAAAGACAACATATGCTTTTATATTTATTATTTTACATTTAAGCTTAATGCAACAAGATTTGTGTCAATATTAAAGATTTATTGTCATGTGTGCAGTTAGGTTTTTCTTCTACAATGAAATTCTTATAGGGCGGCACAATGGTGTGGTTCATAATGTGGTTCGCACTTACAGCAAGAAGGTCCTGGGTTCGTCTCCGCCCAGTGGCCTTTCTGTGTAGAGTCTGCATGTTCTCCCTGTGTCTGCGTGGGTTATAAATATATGAAATATATATACATATGCATTAGGCAAAAAGCTAGAGCACCATGCATTGTTGCAATTATTGTGAGTTGGTGACATGAAGTCCCAGCAGCCATAGTCAGTCATAGTTCAGTTTGTGTATGTCTGTGTGTGCATGTGTGTAGTTGGGGGTCTTGTGAGGCCTCCTCGTAGAAACTGCTTGTTAGTCTCTTTGTTCTGGATTCCAGACTGTAGCGTCTGCTTGATGCCGGCGGGGGGTCTGTCCTTGATGATGTTGTGGGCTCTCCTGGCTGAGGTAAATGTCCTGCAGCGAGGCGAAGGCCTTCAATAGTGGTTATAATAATTTAAAGTTAGAATGTTTTATTGTTCAAGTTAGAAGGGGTATTTCATGTGAAATGATTAATGAAGCCCACACAATATCTTTGTTTTGTGTGGAGAGGGAACGAGAAATAATGACATGATGTTATAATCAGACGTTTTCAATTGTTGCATCGTGGACAACCTCAGGACACTCGCTAAACACAGTCTCCATCCGTGCTTAAAAGACTTCAATTCTAATGGGATTTCAAGAGGAAACTGATAGCTGAGCTCTTCTGTCTTCTTGCAGACTGCCACGGGAGTCGGGGTTGTTTATCCAGTTGTTAAATAATTACTGCTCCTCACTGCAGCTTACAAACAATCTGCCAGTCTGGTTCCCTGTGAATCCCAAGAAAGATAAAAGTGAATAACGGTACAGGTTCATGTTTGATACGGCAACACAAAATAAGAGTAAGGATTCTGGAAAATGGGAGTTTTCAATATCTGGATGAATTCCATCCCACCACCACGGACGTGAAGGGAAGGAGAGATGCAGTCCGGGGTAAATCAGCGTATTCCCGCATTGCGCAACACTTTGTGGAAGCAAGTCAAGGCAATCAATTGGGCTTTACAGCACACATGACGTATATGAAGTTGAGATGGTCCATTCTAAACACCCTTGTAAGGTGCAGTAAATCCATGTTGCCCATATACGTTATGTGTTTGCCATGCGTTACCTGGTCAGGTGATCGGTTTCCTCCTGGATCGAGGTGTTAGGAGGCGCGGCCTGTAGGAACGTGAGGGAGACAGTTGTTTGGGGAGGGAAGAAATGTTTTTGGAGGTGGAAGGAGGAGAAGGGTAGGAGCTAGACTGCCTTAGGTGGGAAATCATTTTGCTCCTTCTTATGGTTGTAGGTAGCTATAACCCATCTGAAATGAAGAAGGAAAGTGGATTTGAGCCCCATAACTATTGGGCGGATCAATGGAAATCAAGCCAAGGCCGGACAATTCATTCTCAATATTACATCTGGTGAGTAAGCTTCTTTTGGGATTCTCTGCAATCATTACATTTAGTGGCCATTTTGGTTGATCTTATTGAGGGGGACTTTTTTTTGCTCGGCTAAACATTGTTCACATTCAAGTGGACACTTCAGTTATTTCCTTGTGAGCTTATTGCAAAGAGAAACCTCAGTACATTTACTTGTTATTTGCTTTCAGAGAGTTTTGAAGACACTCAAATTATTTAAATAGCAGACACGAGTATCACAGTTCTCAAAGTATTCTTGTTACTGGGCTCAAAAGGCTCACAGAGCGTTCATAAACTCATCAGTGCGATACGCTTGATTCAGTATAGTTTTCAGTGTAAATCCCACTGTGATGTCCAAGTCTATTCCATCTGAGCCAAATGAGCCCTTTTTGATTTATTACTGGCCACTCTGGAGCCTTTTAAACTCTGCTGAGCAGAGTCCCTTTAAACCTCTAAATACACACTGGCAGTGTGTATGCTTTTCAAAGGCAACTCACGCACAGTTTGACTGCAGCAGTCCTAAAAAGGATGTCTTCAGGTTCCCTTCAACAGAGACAAACCTCTGCCGCTTGTTGTTGCCGTGGATATCAATGTTTATGAATGGATTCTGTCACAGATCATTAAACCTCACCAGGTCCTCTGTTAATGGTTAAATCCTACTACCGTGGCTGCTCATATTTCTTTCCATAATCCAATACGAGAAGTGGGATGTGTTGTAAAATGGCCTGTGGCACTTCTAATAACCTGGGCAGCTTTATTACATTTTCGGCCAACTTTCATCAAATGAGCAACGTGCTTATTCCGTGATGTGATTAAGGTTTCCTGCTGAGACGCAGAGCAAAGTGCATGTTTTTCTGGAAGTGTGACAGATATTCCATCATCTTCATAGTTTCCATTGGCTGTAATATTGCTTTATGCTGTGCAACTCATCTTCCATTCCACTTGAGTGTTTGTAAAATATGCGTTTTTCAGCCTCTGGTTTACTAACCAACAAGTACTCTAATTAGATGCCAATACAAGTAAGTGATGAAGTAATTTCATCTAAAGATTAACTGCCTTTTAAACTCAGGCACAGATTTATTTCATGATTAGCCCAGACAAGGGTGTTGCACATTAAGGCTTGTCGGTCTTAATTTTTCCACATCCCACTGGATTAACAATTGTGCGTTTTGTAAAACGCCCCCTTGTGCTGCATCAGTAACCTTCAAACTAGACTCTGTCGTCTCTCTTCAGCAACAATGTTTGAAGATATTGAGCTCTGATATTGAGCTCTCAGATGCTCTGCTTTTATGCAAAAATGGAAAGAAAAGAAATCATGGAAAATGCTCACAAATGCCTTTTCTCTCTCAATCAACAGGGGGCAGTAAGGCGTTGAATGGGGTTATTTATTAGCATGTATGAAAAGGATGCAGTACGAGTGTGCTCCTTCCATACAAAAGAGGGCTTTTGCTCTTCATTTGTGTATTTCTATACAATGTTTACACAGTTACTTATACTAGACTTCTAAATAGATACTAAACGTATTCATTTTGAGATTGCTGTAAATGCTTTTCGTTGTCATGTGCTCCCGTGTTAGCTTTTAATATGTAAGAGGACACTCAGTATTTGCTACTTCTTCCCTTTCTGGTGTTTTTTAATGATGCCTCAACATCTTACACGTAGTGTGTCAACACACACAATCTTTAATCACATTTATTATCTTATTATAACACTTTTGAATGTAATTTCCCCCCTGTCTTCCTCATTTGAAATTGGTGAATTCTTTGATTCCATAGATGTCCTGCTGATTCTAGGATTGCTTGTGTGACACCAACATGACACCAAGTGTGAGCTGGACTCATCATTCAGATCCCCTGACAAACTGAATCACGGCGAAATCCCCGCTGCTCGTACCGATACAGCTGCAACGACACCGGCTTCATCTCTGACTTGCACACACGGTGCATGAGAAATCAGTGATGGGGAAGGACACACGTGGCAAGGAGGCTTTTTTCTTTCAGGGGGTGAATCTCTTTGGTGTCATTTTTAAATTCTAAGATCCACGCTCTAAACTTCGATTGTGTAGTCTTGCATAATATCAAAGACCCCCCCCCCGCCCCAAAGATCATAGAAAACATACCTAGATTTTTAATTATGATGTGAAGTGCCCTTTTGAAAATGTCACAATCAATATGTCTGTCAAATAGCCTGAAACGGAGGCAAGACACCACAGCGATGTCATTCTTTTACGGCTTGTCATGTCTTCCCTTTTAGATTGTCTCTGCATGTGACACTGTGTGAGAAGTGATGCTCCAGCAGTTATATAACCTTGTAGCCGAAGCTAATAAAAGATTCTTTCTAAACAGTAACATTTGGCGAGGCAGTGGTGTATGTGAGAGCTGTGTGGATATTCTCGCTGTTAATTGGACTGTTAAGGATCTCTGCAGCAGATCCGCCCTGTCTTCATGTCACTCTTCTTCGTCTTTACACTAGCGATTATAAAAGGGTTTACAGCATCTCATCTATTCATCTGTCTGTGTTTTAATTCCGTAATGTAACTGTTTAAGTATGTTTAAACTGTCAATAACATTCATATAGAAGACTAACACATCGAAATGTAGTGAGATCAATGCTCTCTTTTAACTAAAACTATGTAGAATTCACTAATATGTGATTATGAGTAAGTGGTGACAATCAGAGATACCTGCCTTGAATCGTACGGTTCTTGTGCTGATAGAGGCCTTTACAGACTTGGACAGGAAATTTCCTTGAAAATGAGGTGTGGTCTTTCGTCCCCAACTTGTATGATCCCCTAACGTCACTGCAGTATTCAGTATCATATACTATGATACATAGTACATATCAGTATACTTACTTGTGTAGTAAATATTAATATTTAGAACGATTCCATATATTATAATACGTTAACTCTACCGGCAGTGTCACTGACACTCCAGCACCAATATACACTACAATGTTCACAACATAACACTTGAATGTAATGTTGTATAATTGTACCATCATTTTTACCATTTGTGCCATTTTTTTAAATGGACCTTTTGTGTAAGTGACCTTGAGCTGCTACGTAATTCAACGGATTCTAAAACAAGTCAACCCTGTTACCTATTTTAGCATTTAGAAGTTTCAAATATCGTTTACAATAATACATTGTTTCCTTATTGTTGTGTACCGTTAACTTTAATATAATGACAGATACTGAAGTTTATTTGCTCATTTCATCACCTACATCCCGAACTTTAAATTCATAGGCCCCAATATTATAATTGGCTAAAATATGTGACGTTTGGAATCTTTGAAATTTTGATTGCTTCTTGGTGTTGATCAAATCTGGCATCTCTGTCCACTGATTCACATGATCAACCTCTAATTCCAGCTTCATGTTTCCTCTACACACCTCGACCAAGAACGTGTTCATTAGACGGGGATCACCTTGGACTGGTCGCCAGCCAATCGCAGGGCTACACAGAGACAAACAACATTCACACTCAAACACCTATGGGCAGTCCCCGATCAACCTGATCCCCAGTCCGTGTCTTTGGACTGTGGGAGGAACCCGGAGAGAACCCACGCAGACAACATGCAGACTCCACACAGAAAGGCCACTGAGCGGAGACGAACCCGGGACCTTCTTGCTGTGAGGCGACAGTGCTAACCACCACGCCACCGTGCCTCCCTAGTTTTCAGATGTTACACTTATATTTCTTTTCAGTGCCCATCAACAGCACACTAACACAGTGAAGAGAGTTTAGAAAGCATTCTGAAATATTTTGTCGTCAGACCTTAAATCAGAGTCTGTGCAAAGCATTTGTGTCTTGCTCCCTGTTCTTCGCACACTTTCTGAAGAAGGCTGTTCCAAACAAACACTATTTGCATCAAACACTGATGAAACAGTGACTGTTGATGACACCAGCTTATGTAAACCGATGTAAAACTGGGGTGAGGGGGACTGCATCGAGCTTCAAAGGTTGTTTCTGTGTATACAAAGATATTTCTATTTAACTCTCAACATTTCAACTCGAATAACATTGGGTGTCTCTGTCTTTTTATCCATGTATTCTGTTCCATAAACAGCTTCTGTGTTGCCCACAGAGAAAAGGAGACGTGCTCCATCACGGAGAGCAGTGGCTGCAGCTAAATGCTGGACAGCACGAGTGGAGATTTAATTACTTTACTGGACACTTGCCGACTCAGCACAAGTCTTCAATTTTCAGCTGTTTTTTTAAATGTTCCAATCAATCTCATTTTGAAATCAAAAGCAGTCTTTTGATCTCAAAATGAGTTTGTTCTTGTGTCATCTGTTCTTCAAGTTTCTCATAGCACACACATGCTAAAGCTGGAGATTATAAAGTGGCAGCTGCTACTGGTGGGGTCGGTCGGAAATAGCTGAAGGGGTTAAAGACTGCTGGTGTTAACAACACCACAGCAAGCCCGTATGGCAACACTCACTCGCAGCTTTTTTCCCCTGAAGTGATGACATCACCGGGCCCCTGCGAGCGTGTGAAGCCCACCCGCTCCCCAGATCACGCTGCTCCTGTGATGAGGAAAACCATAATGGCCAATGCTGCTCGGAGGATCCTCTGGGTGTAATGACTGCACCAGAGGCCATGTGCATAGAGGGGGGGGGGGGGGTCGCTGGTGAGAATCCTTTCTTCATTATCTACATGTGAGCGCCACGAGGGTTGAATAATGCAGAGAGGTGTGGAGTCGCATTAATCATATTGTCACATATGTACAGGGCTGCTGCAGAGACAGGAGTTCACGCCCCACGGTGCAAGTGCTCCGAGGATGACGACAAC